TGTGGTCGGTCTGGTGTGACAGAACTCAGGCTGGTGAAGATAGGAAAGTGTTCTCAACAATATCAGATCTCCTTCAAAAAAACCTCTAGAATTCCAAGGTTCCAGAGACTTGATGCATTGATGAAACTGGAGAGATCGAACTCCTGTCTTCTCAATTTCATGTCAGAGCTCTGTTATGATGAGAGGACACGGTCACACTGTGAAGTGAGTTTTTTAATCAGTTTGCAAGCCTGAAAGTTATAAGACGTGACCAATTGCTGCTGTTTATTGGGTCACATCCCAATCTTTTTCACGTGCGAAACTTTGATAGTCCAGCTCTGAAGAAGTCATTCTAGTGAAGGAGCTGTGAAAAGTGAAGGTTGCAGACGTCATATGCCCAGGAGAGTCCCTTTGATGATCTCTGTTTCCTGTTGCAGAAATACGCTGAGCCTTATATTCGGCTCAGATTCAGGAAATTTGAGCTTTCAGAAAGGTAATTGGAGGTGCTGTACCAAGACGGTTGTCAGTCAGTGCTGTAAGTGATTTGACCTCATGCTAAAACTTGAAATTTTCAATATGGTGAAAACTGTTCATACTATCTGGCCTCTCCTGATGATTGAATGAATGAAAGCAGTTCTGTTTCCGTGGTTAACATCAACTGTTATGCATACCACGTGGCTAGAATGCAATAATTTGAATTTCAAGACATCTTTCTCTCGTGATTGTTCCATTGGAGCTATCACTTGCAACTGCATGTGATGCTTTCAGATGGGACTTTCCTAAGGACTGAACCATCAGAAAAGTTTGTGAAGATTCCAGTCGCACTGTAGTTGGTGGCACGGGATATCATGATGCATGATTGTGTCGAGTATGAACTTTGAAGCAATGAAAGATTCCATTCTGTTGAATGTGTGAAAGGGTAACAGTAGTTTGTGAAACCATAAGCATCAACCATCAACAATCGACATATCTCATATCAATGACATTTTCCGAAGATAACAAAATTAAATATGTTGATTTCCGAGGCTGGTTTATGTGATGAAATTATGTAAGTATGAGAACACTGTTTGTGTTATCCTGTGAATTAAGGTTTTTATCAAAGATTTGTAAAGGTTGTTTTGTTTATCTTTCTTGTTGGAAGAATGCATGGTAAGTAAAATCATGTGAACTGTAGTAAAAGGAAATATCATGTTTTGTTATTTATTAGGCAGATGTGTTGAAGAACCCTCAAATGGTGATATATATATAAAATATTTTGAACATCAAAAACTTGACTTCATAAGTTTCCCTAACTGAATGGTTTGATGTAGCAATCACCACGATACTTGTAGTATAGGGCGTTGGACCTTTTCACGGTAGATTATTAAGATAAGACTATGAGAGAATATTATATTGGTCTAGTCGACCCGCCTTTGGATTCTCAAGAGATCCTATAGCTACCAGTACCCTGGAAAATTTGTCGCACTAGTAATAATGATATACGTGTGAAAGAAAAGCATGCGCATTCTCCAATCAAACCCACCAATTTATATGCTGGTCCTTTCTGCGTCTAGGTGAATGGGTGCAATAGGGCAGTCATGGAGCCATACACTTCGGAAAATATTGGAAAGTAGGAAATATTGCAGGGTGGCTGTTAACTACACTAAAAAGCTCTCACTAGCGCAGGTTGGGCAGACTGTCTTTTAAAAAGTGGATACATCATTTCAATATTTCCCAGAGTTCATCTGCTTTGGATAGATCTAACAGCGGCAGACATTGACATACCTTTTGGAAACATACATCATTACACAAACCTTGGGTCTCACCTTTTACAAATGGCAGACTGTTTACCCCTTCTGAAACAAAGAGAAACAAAAGAAACCCAAAGAAAGAAAGAGAAATAAAAGAGACTTACTTCACGAAACATCTCATATGTACAAAAAAATCTGGAATGTTGGAGTAGCAGAGATGATGAGATAAGGTCCAACCTTTGATCTTTTACAACAAGTTGTCAGATCTACACATCATTATGCGAGTCGAATGGATTCATGTGTAACGATTGGGAACAAATTCAGCGACACTAGTCTGACGGAGGAACAACTTTGAACTACATTGATCATCGAAGGCATTATGGATCCAGAAACCGTTGTAATGTCATTTCATCATTATGATTATCTAGGCCCAACCAGTGGAGGAGGTAGGTTGCGAGACGGATTTTCTCGCCATGCTTTTTGAAGGAAGAAACTGGGCTCCACAAAATCTACGTGTGCTGCTAAATACTGCATCAATCAAATTGTCATCTTTAATACAAAGCAAAAGATGGAGAACCCATGCGACGAACGAAAGTCAATTTGCGATATCCCCCGAAGTCTATACTTGCGCTTGCATGCGTTTTTCCAGAAGAGTCATCATCACTTTCCATCTTACCAAATGCTCTGTGCGTTGAAAGTTGATTGAAGGCGAGTTGCAGTTTCAATCTGTATACTCCACACTTCTTGCTACATATATGATTTAGAGTATATTTCATTTTTTATCAAATTTTAGCAAAGGTATGCAATTCATTGAGATTAACAACATGCTGTGTGATTTGGCGTTCAGGGTTTGAAGATGCTACCAGTTCAAGGATGGGTTGTGTGCATCCTGATGTTCGTGAACAGGGCGTAGTTCGCTCGTGTTAGAGATCTTCAAATGCATTCTATAAATCAGCCGTCAGATCTTTGTAAATAAATTACGAACTTATTTTGGAAATTAAAAAATGGCGCAAGTTCTAAAAATTTATAAACTCTATATTTACTCAAAGATAAATCAATCTTATTACGTAAGATGATGCATTTTTTGCCCTGTAAGTGTTTTCTTAAAATACATAAATTTGAGTAGATCAAATATAGGGTTCTTTATTCTTACATTGTGCTTTTCTCTTCCATGAGTATCTTAAGGCTGATTATCATTAAGCACTGAAGTCATAATGAAAATCTCTTGGTTGAAAGTGAAGTACGATATAAGGTGAGTTAAATTTACGCTGATGTTTTCAAGTAATTTTTCAACCATCATTCTCATCAAAATCTCTAGGTCTAAGATATAATACGCTAAGCTTTGCAGAGGCACGTGGATAGCACGTTACATCATGCAATGAAATGGCTACTGCAAAATGCCTCGATGAGGTTGGCTAAGGTTCTGCCGAGAAGAGAGTTGAGGTAACCAGACTTGAGAAACACTTCTCTTAGGCAGAAGTAGTAAATAAAGATGACGTTAAGGCATGCGTGGTATCATGGTCGCTACCAGCAAGAGGTCTTTTTGCTGATAAGTAGCCAGTGCACAGGGCCACAAGTGTGACATACCGTTTTTCTCTTCTATTCTTTCAGTTATTAAGATAATTTAATCAAAATCACCAAGAGGCGGCCTAGCTTTCCATGTAAGAGTGACATTGACAAGGCTAGCCTGTAGATTCATACTTATGTCTTGCATATATGAGGAAATCGGGTTCAATATATATATTGGTGATGATAAAGTAAATCGTTAGGGGACGTAAAGCGAAAGCAAATATGGACCTATATAAGAATGTTATGGTACTTCGGAATCTCGATCCAGACTGTAAAATTGTCCACAAGTGATTATAGCTTTATTAAAAACTCAATATATCAACTGTTCATGCTTCTCGCGCATCTGGATTTGGAGAGTCAGTACACCAAAAATGCTGTCGAGGCATATTTTAATTCGTAACCATATCGGTTTTCTGTGATTGATGATAGAGCAGGAGAAATTCCCTCTGACGTCTAATTTCTAGTTCGCTACAGGAAGGTTAACGTGCAAGATCTTGTTTTTCTTCTTTTCATTCCTTGGCTCTATGCATCAACCTCCACCTTTTTGGTATAAAAGAGCCATCTAAGAGTACTTAATATCGCCTTGGACTTTATCCACAATACAAGTACAGAAGTTGATAGTGGATGTTGTTCCGAGCCAAGAGGCTCAAATTTTTTCTTCAATTTTCTTCGGATTTAGAAAAAATAATTCTCGAAGGCATGTATTTCGGAATATTTATGCACTTGTTTTCCCCCACATGCGAGGTGTCCAGGAGCAATTTCCAAAAGCATCGGCTAACACTGGCTCAGCTCCAAATGATGTCTTAGTCTGAGGTCCACGGTGAAAAAGCATGCATTGTAATAAAGCCAAGGAAGGCTCTTCCGGCGACTTGTTGTCAACCAGCCGATTTATCCACTTTTGCTTTAATCATACCGATTTGTCAACGTACTGAGCCAGAGGATTTACAGTGGTAATAATTGTGGTGTCGATACAAAGTCTCCGACAGAATGAATGATGGCCTCAACCAAGTAAATACACAGCGTATACCCATCCTCGCCTCTATAGCATGATTTTATAGTTGGTGGTGTCTGAAGTAAAAAGGCATGGGTACGTACGGAGCAAACAAGTGCAATGTTCTCCGCAGTGATCGTCCCGCGAACTTTCTATCACGCACATAATTCGGGATGGTGTGTAGTTTTCCGAATGAAGTTTGGACAATCAAGGTGTGATGTCAGACTTTCTGCTGCTTCATTCACGAGGATGATTTATGAGTCGATCGATCATCTCCTGTTCGATTGTTTCAGACCATTTGTGCAGTATGCGATGTGATCCCAAGACAACTTCGGAGCAGTGAGGCGCAGGTGTAGACAAAGAGATGAACAATTTTACTGCCAAATGCCGGATTTTTCTACCAGCAAATGCCCTACCGAAATCTAATTTACTACTGCCGCACATGGATTCAAGTGAAGTTTGGAAGCAAATCACACTTCATGAAACGAAATTGCTCATACTCAGGGGGAATCTGGCCACTGTGAGATTGGGAAGCCCGAGGATTCAAAATGTTCGATTCAAGTGAAAGTCAGATTCAAGTGGTGGCCAGCTGGGTTTAGAGCCGGTGGGGGAATGAGTGCTCAGAAAGGTTGAATCAGAGCGCGAAGTCAAGGGCATACGCTTGCAACAAGCGAAAATTCAACAACTGCCTGCGCAAAAGGCGAGCGAGACGACGACTCGAGTACAGGCAAACCCAGATAGATACATAGAAAAAAAATTTATGAACAAAAGGGTGACAGTTCGGTTGATATACAGTTTGAGGAGTGGACTACGGATAGGTTGCTACATCAAAGATGTAAAATTTTAAATGTAAGGTACTTAGTATTACAGTATGCAACTTCACCTAGAAACTCTTGGATCATTCCCACACACCAGTACAGCTTAGCATAACGGCCCCTGATAAATGGTTTGATTTCCATTGCTTTAGGACCCAAGGAGCACCCTTTCTTTCTAAAGCACTCTCTCCAAGGTCTATGATAGAGATGGAGATATGTGACTCGTACAAACCTCTCAGGTGTCACAATCCCTCTCCACATTTCCCAAAAACATCACTCCGTGACTTACTCCCGTTCTATTTTACACTGACGGAGATCACAAGTTTCTGGTTCAGCAAAGTGGTGGCTTCACTCAATAAGTCGGGAACTGTGAAGACTGAGAAGACGAACTAGTTGTACACGCCTCTGGCATTTATGCCATGCCAGAACTCCGTGCCCGGTACTTCTCAAGTTCTATAGTATCGTAAAAATTTTCTCGTATTTCCAGCTGATGCACATTAATCACAAAAAAGAAGATCAGGTACACTATCATAGCTCAACCTTCATATGTCCAGGTGGAAGATGTCCTGCAAAACAGCGCGGATTTCCGTCAGTTCCTTGCCCAGATTCGATTTGGTGACATTCCTCACAAGAAATTCTGCCTATTCAGAAATGGGAATTCCGCTTAGGATGAAATTTGGACCACTTGCTTGGAACACCACCAGTCGAGAGATTTGTCACATTACCATGTAGTAGTGCCTGAGATGACAATGAACGGAGTTGTCCGAAACCCATGACAATGCTTTGTAGCTCACCGTCATCCCATACACCCTGTACGACAACGGAGAGGGAGGTCAGCTCGTGTTAGGACGCGTAGAATTTCGACGATTCGAAAATTTTGCTATCAGAGTCGATAATTGCGGCTTCAACAATCTAGTCGACTCGGCCGACAACAGACAGCTGGAATTGGATGCAAATCTCATACCGTGGGCACGCCATCCGCGAACCCATCTTCACGAGGGATTACGGCGGGAATGGGAGCGCTTATGGATCTTCTGAGAGCCACCTGTGAGGGATTCCCCAATGACTGAACTGGGTATTCCAGTCCACATGGTACTCCATGCTGTAATTGGGGCTGATGCGGTGGATGAAGTTGAGGATAGGACGTCTCGGGTCCCATTATCATTCCCTGAGATCGCGAAACCTGGACGAACGAGAGAGATCGGGTTAGTGGGCGGACGAAGACCGTGACTGACTGACTGACCGACTGGTCGCGTATGCAGGAGACGCCATCCTCAAGCGGGACTGATAACAGAAGCACCTATGTGGCGATGAGTAGACTGCGCACTGACACGGCCTCGCATTTACCTCTTTGGCAAGCAGGTTCTCTATGTTGAAGTCTAGACGTGGATTAACCGCGGCCAATTTCATCGAGAGAAACTGCAAATGAGAAGAACGATGATCCGATGTCAGGACATTACATTACTACTCTCTCGGAAATCGACTGCCTAAACTTCATCCCATCACATAAATCGCATACAGAATAAGCCAAATGCTGCTGACAAATGACGAAAGAGTCTTAATGGCTTGACGTAAGAGCCGAGAACGAAAGATTGGAGTCAGGAAGCTACCTGAACTTGATGCTGCAAGGATTGCACATAATTGATTATTTCATCAAGCATCACAGCTTTCCCCGTGACCTGTAGTGAAGAGACACGTTTGGGTGAGAAAACAGCTGATGCCGAAACGAGTAAAAGCTTATCTTTTGATACGGTAACCATAAAACTATTTCCGCGGCTGTAACATGAAAGTGAAATTTTGATGGGTTTGCGTTGATAGAGCGGATATGGGTCAATCACCTTGCTGCAGCCTGGCACAAGATCTTGCAGGAACTTCATGCGCTCACTGATTTTCTCTCGACGCACCTGAATTGACAAACGACCAGTCCGTCAGACTCTGTACATAGACCTTCTTACGGCTCGTGAAAACATGGCACATCAGATTCAGAGCGACCCAGATGGGTTCGTGGGACGGAATCTCACCCTCTCGGCAAGACTGTGGCTGTCGGTGGCTTGGCCTCGTCTCGCTCTCACGTGAATATAGTCCGGCTTGGGCGGTTCCTGAGGCTTGGAGTGGTCTTTCGTCGATCGAGGACTGGTTTCCCCCGAAGTCTCACTACTGCTCCTCTCTACCTTGGGCTTCACATCATCCTTGTCTTTCGAAGCATCCCCACGCTTGAACCGTTTGGCTTTCACATCATCACTGTCCGATGTCTGTGGCCGACGACAATATGCCAGAGTCAACTGATTAGAACACGGATTCGAAGACCAATGCATGCGAAATACTGTATCCAAATCCAGTGCATGGCGAGTCATCAAATAGCCGGACTCAATCCAGAAGCGGTCGGAAACACGAGGTCGCGGACTTGCTCTTGTGAGAATTGGACCCTCGCTCTTCCTCCGGGGAGGATCAGAATTGCGGAAGGTGCCGCGATTGCAAGATCTACAGAGTATGCATAATCAGAGGACGCCTGGTAATGACTACTGCGACAGACCGACTGAACTCGGCTCCTCGAAGCCACGAGACAAGAATCACTCTGCCTGCGGGTGATGGGAGACACTTACTTTGGTCTCGCGCACTCCTGGAGACGACACAGTGACGGATGTGGCATCCTTGGACTTCTCGTCGGGGGTGCTCTTCCGTTTCTTGACAAGATTCTCGGTGGCGGTGGTCACATGGGTGACGCCCGACGGGCAAGTCTCGCCGGGGGCGTCCCCAACGCTGGACATGTCTTGCGCGACGGTGGTGGCCTCATCGGCGTCGTTCGCCTCGTCGACGGGCGACGCAGCTTGCATTCTCTCGTCGTCGTCGCCCGCGGCGACACTGCTCGCAGTCCTACACAGATTTTTGTCCCCTGCCTTGACCCCAACGTCTCCATCGCGCGCGTACTGCTCCATATCGGCTCCAGCGCCCGCCGCCCCGGCGCCGGGCTCCGGAGCGGGGTCGTCGATGTCGGACGAGGCCGGATCGTCCTTGGGACTTTTGGCTCCGGCAGCGGTGTCGCTCATGGACGGGCAACTGGAAGTCTTCGGCAGCTGCCTGTTATTGGTTGCGTCGGACGATTGGGCGCTGCCCTGCCTGGACCGGGCCTTGCCGCCGTCGGACGTTGGGAACGGCTGCGAGTAATTGCCGTTGCTGAAGGACGAGAAGCGGGCCGCGCGCTCGGCGAATCCTGGATCAGAGGCGAAATGCGCCAGGCAGTGCGAGGCGGCCAGGCCCACGCCGGGCAGAGCCAGCGCGCCCTTGGAGGGATCGACGGTAAGGCCCATGGAGTTGGCCGCATCCCCCGAGCCCCAGCCGGTCGCGAGCTTGAGCGCCTTGTCCATCCCTGTTCCTGAGCGCTGTGGACTCGCCACGAGAGGCGAGCCTCCGAGCGACGCGACCCCGTTGCCATTTCCTCCGAGGCGCCCGATGAGCTCGCGAATCATGGCGCCCTCATTCGCCGCGCGGCTGCCGCCGGCGTGCGGGCTGTTGTGCGAGAGCGGACTGGACGAGGACGAGAGCACGGATTGGTAGCGCACGCTGGAATCCACGAACTGGTCCCAGTCGCCGCTCACCACCGTGCTGCCATACAGCTCGGACGACGACGTGGGCAGTAGCCCCGGCGATCCTCGACTGGCTGCGTCCGAGCCGCATTCGTTGGCCACCATCCCGTTCGCAGCTGCTGCTGCTCGCATGCTGTTCTCCTGCTGCGCCAGAGCGTGCATCTCTGCCGCTGGACCTGCGAGCTGCCACACTTGGGCCATCTCCGACGGCTGGTTCCCGTAGCCGGATGAGCCGTTTCGGAAAAATCTGCCATATCCCGAGTGCATCTCCATCGTGTACTTCTCGCGGTAATCGTTGGCGGCCAGAGCGTTCGAGAATGAGGAGATTGGAGTTGAGTTGAGTGCACCAGTTGGTGGAGAGCAGTTCAGCCGGGAAATGCCATTGAGATGACAAGGTGTGGGAAGGTGATCTGCTTGGCCCATGGATGCCATTTCATAAACTCGAAAACTCTTGCGGCAGCCGCCAGTATTCCTCAGTTACAGGCGGCTGATCATACTTCTCCCTCAGAGTACACGGTCGCGAGCACGGCAATTTCTCTTCTCTTTGCCAGAGATTGGGTAGCTTGCACACTCAATTTGCATCGACAACGCATACTCATCGTAGCAGTCCCTCGATTGTTCGGAGACAGGCTCTGTTGCTAGCTGTTCAAGCTGCCACGAGCAGCCCTCTATATTTCCTCTATAGCACCGCCGTTCGTTCTTTCCAACAGAGAGAGTGAGAGAGGGAGAGGGAGAGAGTGAGAGAGATGGAGAGAGCAGCGCGCGAGTACAAATCAGATAACGGAGGGCGCAGAGAGACGTGAGAATCGAGAAGTGCGACGAGTAGAAGTAAAGGTACTGAGAGGCAGAAGCATTAATCAGAAAGAACTAGAGTGCTCAATTGCCATTAGCTCCCTTTTCTCGGAAAGTACGAAGGCAGGGATTCCGAAACAGGTGTCACGGAGAATAAATTTTCGAAAAAACCTTCTACCCAACACACATCGTACACAAATCTCCTACACACACCCCTCGAGCTATGATACAGTCTTGTTGGAGCCGAACGTATCTCCCATCAGCTCGCTACTGGCTAATTGCATGCGGGCGAGGAGGCGCAGGACTCCAACAACAAACCGCATGACGAATCACCGCGCGGCTGCTGCCCTTCTCTACTCTAAACTTCCGGTCTTACACAATGCAATGCGATCAACAATTCTTCACTTCACTTCACTTCACTTCACACCTCGCCCTGCCTCGCCGGGCTTTCTCTCTCTTCGCCACTCTTCTCTCTTCTCTCTTCACCTCTCGTCTCCTCTCCTCTCCTCAGCTCTCCGCTTGTTCCCAGGTCCTGTCGGCAAAGCGAGATACTGGACTCATATTATATTTTTATACACAAATTCCGAGACCACTGCCCTGCTCTCCCTCCGTGACAAGCGTAGGGTAGAAGGGCGAGAAAAAGAGGACGAGATAAATGTAACTTAACAACAACCCAACGAAACAACCCAACAAACGCCAGACACTCACTACTGAGCAGAGAGCAGCAGAGGAGAGAGCAGGAGAGCCAGTGGGAAAGACCGCCACGCTCTCTTCGCTTCCTCCTCTCCTCTCTTTCACTCTCCTCTCCTCTGCGAGCGAGGACAGGATACGTGAGAGGAAGAAAGAAAGCCGAGCTCCTCCGCCGCCCCGGTCACAAATCTCGCTCCTCTCTCCCCGTCTTCGCTCTACCTCTCCCTCCTCTCTTTTTCTCTCACCCTCTCCCGCTCGCACTCACAAATAACAAACCCCATTCTGGCGACAGAGGGTGCTCGGTTTGGCGTTTACCCTGGCCCCTCCCGCCCTCCACCCCTCGCGCGCTCGCCACCCCCGTCCCCCGCCCCCTTCGCCAATCGCTCTGCCCCACCCTTGCCTGCCTTGCTTCGCCTCCCCGGCCCTTTGCCATTCCGGTCCCAATCTCTCGGGCATGGCCATGCCATGTCTGCTGCCTCTCTGTCTGTCTGCGCTACTGCTGCAGATGGGCGCACTGCACTGCACCAGTGTAGCGGTGCAGTGTACTTAGTGGTGGTGCTCGGAACTTGGCCCCACCCTGGCGCTCCCTCCCTCGCTCGCTCGCTCGCTCGCCTGCCTTGGCCTCCCCTGAGGATGCACTCCTACCCTCCGCCATGTCCGCGTTCCCGGCTCCTTACGCTATGCCTGTCAAAACACTCCACAAGCGCGCTGAAGTTCGACATGCCCGTCCACGGACGTCTTTCCCAATAAAGGCGTACTTGATTGGCAACCTGCAGCCTTCGGAACTATGGTACATGCCGCAATTCATGGGCTTTCCTTCTTGCCTTTCTACTCTACTCTCACTCATCTGTACTGTAATGTAATAAGCCACATTAGTATACTGTAGGCGATTGCCAATATATTTGTATATTCCTGAATATATCTGCACTTGTTTATGTATTTATGCGGGGCCACGGGGGAGCGTACTGTGTACCAGCTTCTGGCATTTGATTTCATCCTCCAGCACATTGGCGAGGAAACTCTTGAAATTCGTCGCCGGTTCTGCAATGCTGGCAAAAAAGCAAAGCACGCTTCGCTCTCATGGTGGGGCTGCCCGGCTGGCTGGCTGGGCCTGGGGGGCGCCTGTGGGGGGCCTCGGGGCCCTGGAGTGGCCTGGGCTCTCCCTCCCTCCCTCCCTCCCTCCCGTCCTACCCTGCTCCCCGTTCACTGGCTGCAGCAGCAGCAGCAGCACCTACAACGTCCCGTCCGTTCTAGCTTTCGGCGCACTCGCGCTCGCGCTCGCCTAAAGCGTTGGGGACATGTCGTACTTTAGTCAAACGACACAGGACCTCAGGCCCATCGCCATTCGTCGGAGGGAAAAGCTCCTCATCCTAACCCGAGTTAGCAGGGCCTTCGATTTTCACGAGCAACTCTCGGTAGTCGATTTTAAGCAACAAAAGACAGCGGAACTCGCCGGGCGTTCATTTGTCCATGCCAAAAGCTTGCTTGCTCGCCCCAAGTCGCGACTCTCGTGAGCCTTAGATCTGCCCGTCTCCTCTGAGTACTCGGATTCCGCAGCAAGAGACACCGAACGAATTCTGGCCGACTCCAACGGCAAAGCTTCTCGTTTTAACTTGCCTATCCATTCCTTTTCCCTTTCCCTTTGCTTCCTCGTTTTTTCCCCTTTTTAGATGGCCGGCTTCCGGCTCTTGTTATCGAACAACAAAAGGACAGGACGTTTTTCCCAATATCCCATTCGTCGAATCCAAAAGCTCCTCATCCTAATGCACTCTCATTCTCCCTCGGATCTTCATGGATTTCTCCATGCCAAGTCGCTTCCCAAAGCAAAACGGCTTAGCAGTTTTCCGAATCATATTGCGAAAGCTTCTCTTTTTCGCTTGTCATCTTTTCTCGGTACTCGATTTTAGGCAACAAAAGACAGCGAAATTCTCCAAGTTTCCATTTGTCGACACCAAACGCTTCGTCATCCTACATCCCGCCTCTGATGACATTCAGCAACAAGAGACACCGAATCCACCCCAACAAGATGCTTCGCTTGCGATTGCATTACCGGGGCTATGAGCATAGATGGAACAAGAAGATAGCTTGTTGCAAACGCTCGTATCTGATAAGTGCATCCGCCATCTTCGCAGATTTTCGAATTTTATTGAGCACGTGCCCTTGAAGAATATACAAAAGCTTTGGGCTATATGAAGAAGATGAAAGAAGAACGTTACTTCATATGATTCCATAACGGAAGATGTTTTCGAAACCACAAACTTATGCATTGGCTCGATCCACACATCTGCATTCTCATTGCTCGATTAACGTGATACTACCCTAGGTATAATAGGGGTCCACATGATTCCTTACCAATTTAGATGTTAGACACTAATAATATTCAGTATGTGATGTTTGTTATGGCAAGAAATTCTTGATATCTCACGTGGTTTACGGCGTATTTTAAGGTTGGTTCTAGAGTACCAGGTTATAATATTAAAATGTGTGGTTACAAATCTACACGTGATTTCATTACGGACGGGTGCCTACCTTTGATTTGCCTGCAAGTGGTGCGTCATTTGTCAGCCAAACCCCTTATACCCAATGTAAGAGTTTGCATAGAGATTGTTTTGATAAGTTTTGAGTTTTATGTAGCCATGATCGTCAACTTCAAATGATTCATGGGAGAGTGTATGTCTAAAGTACAATAGGTGACATGGGGTTACAATCTCTTCAGGATATTGTACGATATTTTTTAAATAATGTGTGTTCATAGATCTACAAAGATCACTAGTTTTTGTATTTCAGTTAGATGATGATTCTTGAAATGATCTTGCAGTATGTTGGCGTTTTAAATTATTGTTAAGATTTCTTAGTTTTGCAAGGATATATTTCCGCTTGTGATGCTATTGGGGCTATCCGCATCTTGCCCCTTTGGATTCATTAATGTAAGACATGATGGGGTATTCCCATCCTTCTTGCTAGACATTACTTGGAGTGAGGAGAAAAGTTCTATCCTCTCCTCACAACTATGGATCCATTTCATTAATTTAAACATTTTATCTTTAATGCACATTTTTATCACCTATCATATTTGTTAGGAACTGATTGATGTCTCATCCTTAAGTCCGAAGTGACCTGGCGCATTAGCATCTTCTTTCTGTCAGAAACTGAAGAGCGACGAGAAATTTGGGTAACATTAATATTGTCTCCTCTTATGCTATTCATGATTGGATGACTTTCTTCTCATTTTGCATATTCTAAGAATGTAAACACTGAGAAAGTTATTGCTGTCTTCTGCACAGATTTTAGACTTAAACATTATTAATTCTGTTCTTGCCTTTTCACTCATCTCATTATCAATCCACCTTTTTACCCACGATCGTGAAGGTCAAGTCCGGAGAACACGTTTCCAGCCGCTCGGCTGGAAACTTGAAGCTGCTCCAGTGGTAATACTTTTAAGTCCTTCGATGCTAGCTCCATTGTATCTTACTCTTCTAAACTCTTGATGTTCCTTGGAACCGAAATTCGTATGGTTTGAGTTCACTTTTTTCAGCCGTGTTTACTGTTTTGGCTTATGCTCTTTTCTTCGTCAATGTTAAAATAATTCGTCACATGCGTTCATAAGTGGGTCAAGGCACACCACACCAGACGTACCTGTGATCATGATCCAACTAAAGGCGACACAGTGTGGACTTGGAAATTGGAGCCGAAGGCGATGCATTAGCATCCAGGTTCCAAGGTCTGCGACCTTACCTTCAGTAGGGAGTCCGAAGCGGAAGACAGCAGACCCGAACCTCCACCATCCACGTTCGTGGGCCCGAACGGACCCGAACCGAACCAGAGCTCGGGACTCGGAGACAGGAGTTCGCCCTCCCAGATTCGATACAAGAACGCGAGAGAGCTCACGGGCGAGGGACGGGTGTTATCTTAAACATTCCTTCAGCGCAGGCTCTGCGCGCCGTCCGATGCAAGAGGAGGGCATCCGGACCGCGGAATGACGATTACGGCGAGGCGATAAGCGCGCAGGGAGGGGCAACTTTGAACGATGCCTTTGACTTGGAGGGCCTCGAGGCGATTATCATCATTAATGGGAGTTTGCGGCACCTGTCAGGCTGCCGTGGAGTTGCAGAACGACTGCCGCACGGTTTTACAGTCTGAAAGACTGGAAGCGCAGTACGAAGATTGAGGCCCCCGCTGATAAGGAAACGGCAACTCTGAGCGTCTGCGCCTCTGGGCGTCTGACAGAGGAGCGCAGAGCGAGATAAAAACTGGAAATACAGATAAATCGAAGGCAGAAACTGCAGAACATTCGAGTGAAGGATCGTGGAAAGCCTCGGCTTCCGCCTCCCAGAGACTTGGAAAATGAAATCGAAAGCGGGGAGAAATTGGACCGGGCCTGGAGATTAATGACAGGCACATTAGGAACAAGAAGGACGAAATCCTCACTGTAGTTGTGCACGCCTGACTGACAAGAACAGTACGCATTTTGGTGCGAACTCTGGACTGAGTAGTGAGGATTCTGGGTTCTGCGGAAGAGGATGTGCGTCGTCTAGAGTAGTATCTAGGTGCGAGGGTAGCTGATTGTGCTACGCTGGGAGGCATGTCTGGTGGTTTTCTCTCAAGTGGTCGCGAGGCGAATTCGAGACATTGTGGACACGGAGAAATTGTGCAAGTTGATGGGTGCAGAGCGGGATGCGATGGCATCAGTCCATGTTGTTCATGGTCATACAGTACTACAGTCCAGTCAGAACACAAGGTCTTGGCAGCTTTTCACATGGCAGGATGGGGTCCAAGACACATCGTCCATGACGACAATAGGGTAGACCCTTTTTCTCGAGGGAGCGCGCGCTAAACTAATTTTGTATACTGGCCACTGTAACTGCTGCAAAGCCAAGACGATCCAAGCAAGCTAAGCTGGGTGGCTAAGTGCCCAGTTTGATACTTTGATAGTTTTTCCAGGCTGAGTATATATCACCGCATGTTGCCAGAATTTGAATAGGAATCCTACAGCTTCCGCCCAATGACATTGTTAACAGCAGGGTGGGCGAATAACGGTTTGTAATATATCATTTCGTTGCAGCCGTGGTCTAGCAGACGCGAGACCAACCCCTAAGTCATGGACTCATGGTTCCTACAGTCGGGAGCAGGATTATGCCCTTTCTGACGCCACTGGTTCGATCTCAAGTCAAACAACTGGACGTCGAGCATAGTAGCTACTCAAAAACTCCACTCATCAATGTCATGTGATGATCGCCGGAGTTGAATCCGAATCTCGGCTCGAGTTTATCATCTCATTATGGCTTCTATTTCAGAAAGGTATAACGTGCAACAGCGCAGGCAGATTCCAGTCATCCTTCCCATATCCTTCAGTCGCATGCTCCACTTTGCGACATCCTTTGGCCTGAATAATGCTTTCCAACTGCACCACTTCTGATGAACGGGTTCATTGACTCGGGAACAGATGCCCCAGTAAATACGTCCTGCTATAGGCGTCCCCCAATTCTCACAAGTTCATCGAGCTCACGATGTGCACTGAAACTGCGACCCCGTGACCTCACCCTCCACGACGCAGGGTCTCAGACTTCGACACAGTCCGCCCGCGAGTTGGCCCTGCCGGCCTCGGACCTCGGGGCTGGCCCCTCCAACCTTCGTTGCGCCGAACCCCTCCGTCTCTCGGCTCCTTGTGGTTACCAGCCCTTGCTGCTTAATAAAGAGCCTCGGCCTTTTAACGAAGCAGGAATAACAAGGGCTTTGGACACCACCTCTTGAGGTAGGGAGCGATTGACTGGAGCCTATTCTCGTCCGGTCCACTTGTCTGGGAGACGTTTACGTTCCGTCGCAAGCACCTTTTATAAGTAACCCCGACGGTATCTTCACTTGAATGCCTTATCAACGACGAAGCCAGGGACAAGCAAACTATTGGTCTCTTTGAAGTGGAGGAAGTGTACCCAATCACCTCGGTAATCAAATGTTCAAACGCCCTGCTGGGACTGATGGTACATGTAGCGTAGTGAGGGGAAGTTGTGCGACGTGAAGAAACAAATACTATGAAGAGAAAGTACAAAACTTTTCTTAATATATTTATGTACAGTATGTATATATATGTCTAGGGGTATCGAAGCTATTGTTGCCAAAGCTGTTCAGCGCCAAATGCTGAAAGTCTGTCTTCGAATTTGGAGCGTGGGGATAAGTGCGAAGGGACATGTACGCGACTCGAAAGAAGTTCAGATTAGCAAACGAGTTCAAGCCAAAGTACATATACATATTTCTTCACATGGGCAGATGCGAGACACACGCCTCACACAAGATTTAAATCATGAACCTATCATTATTGAGGATTTTCGCGAAGCTGGCCTATTGTACTCTCCATGCAGATAGAGAATTTCTAGTGAAATATTCTTCCGAAAGAAACATCTTGACGTTAAGGATTACCAGAGCTTCCAATCTTTGTCCAGTCTTACCCAGCAAACCAATCCTTGTGTTTGGAAGTCGATTTCTTTTCTTGCCTAAGATATTGTACAGAGAAAGTACCTGGAGTACCTGGAGAAGATACAACCACGGAATCAAATTCCAAACTGCGTCGCTCTGCGCACCACCATGTTCATCGTCCGCGCACATCTTAAAAGGTACAACTTACTAGCAATTGCTTAAGCAAACTGATAGCAAGAGCTAGTACTCATGGTACAAACCTGAAAGAACATTAATCCGGATACTAAGTCACGTAACCAACTTTCAACGCTGGAGGCCGGTCAAAGCTCACCTCTACCAGAATCATCTCGATTCAAATTTCGCTCCAATCGTTGGTTCGCAAACCCGTGCCATTTAGAGAGTGTCCTGAGACCCTCAGATCCAGCCCGTACCATCACATCTGATTCTGCTCGAGTATATAAGGTCAACTGTTGAATCAATCAACCAATGGATGTCCTCGTCCTTGTCATTAGACCTTAATAATCCCAAGGGTCAGTTCCCCGAAGTACAGTAGTGAGTTAGAATCAAAGTGCATGGCTGTTAATGATATTTTGCTACATTGCTTGGTATTGCTTTACTGATATTTGTGACAGCGCTTGCCCTCCTTCTGTCCCTTAAGTCTATGGGTTCTCGCATATTGACTATTGTCTGGCTAAAGACCCAAGTTAGCCTTGCTCCCGAGCCTCTCGATGTATGAAATCAATGATCTGGATCCACCTTTCTTTTGACTCTAGTACATGGATGTTAGACGCTATTCCAACAGACCAAATCATGATTCTCCCCCATCTTCTCACGACGTTGGTTGGAATTGTAAAAGGAGGCTAGTATTTCGAATAGCTTGGCCATGCATATATGATAGTACTGCCAACACAATGCTAGAACAAAGCTGCAATACATGCATAGAGTAGTTGCCCCTCAGATCCGGATCTCGTCTTGCTTCTCAAGCAACTTCTATTCGGAGGTACTGGTGGAACGGAACTCCAAATTGGAAGAGAATGAGCACTACGCCTCCGACCATGGGCTCGGTCCAGCAGAGAAACAACAAAGGCGCACCTCTGAAGAGGAGCAATTCGGCCCGAAAAGCTAGGACGACTGTTGGGATGGTGATTGGCTTCGCGGCAGAGGGCTTGATAAAACAGCAAGGCGGAAATGCGACGCACAATCATTACTGGATGCTAAGTTTGGAGATGCGAGAGAGGAGGACAAAAATGACCCACAACCACACGAAAATTGACTCCGGAGCTCGATGCGCAGAAACAGATGGAAGGAAGCCATCCAGTCTACTTTAGTGTGAAGACCTGTTCGACCACTCAAACGCATGACCGGGCATGCCGAACGAGTCACCATTCCTCCGCAGATATCTTTGTCAATGTTTTTCGCTTTCTCGAGGAATTTTGGTCCAAATTCTGTACACCAACGTGGGAATTGCGAGTGTCCGTTTGAAGGACAGGCCCTCGGGTAGGAGGAAGTTGAGATCGATCGCGCGATAGGACGGACGCCAGAGGATTAAATTTTCCACTTTGGGGCGCCTCGCGTGCTTCCGGTTTCTAAAAGGAAAGAGATATCTCGGCCTGGTTCACTTTTTCGTTGGCATGGGAGGAAGTATTCACCACTTTTTTGGTTGGCTATCTTTTCTTTCTTTATGCCCAAGGTAGGGAGGAGGGGCGTGCCACCGATGAAAAAGCTGCCTTTCCCACGTGAAGAATGCACAAGGGCATATAGGCTTGAAATCTTGGGGCTTCCACGGCGCATGAGGGAAATGTATAAAATATGAGCCAAAATCTTGGGCTGCTTCAACCATGAACTCAGCATGAGAGGATGTCCCCCTAAAGCCTAAATTACCGTACTCGTGATCGCCATCACCACTTCGAACTAATTCGCCCTTCCACCTCAGAAAAATAAGGGAATTCCAGGGGGGAGAAACGCTTGGGATCAGCTTTCTGTGCAGCCTCGTCAAATACGCAAAAGTATCTGGAGGTCAATTGACTTAGGAATATGCAAACCAGCACGCCCCCTGTTTATCTGTAGGTTGGAAAAGTCTAACGTTCTTCTGGATTTCCCCTTTCTTCCGCTTGCTGCAGAGTGAATAATTTGCCACATCCTGGTCCTCAGCAGGGCACGTGAAACTTAGGCCCCGGACTTAAACTACTCAAATCGGCCATCCGAGGTGTCATCTTTAAGACTCCCTATCTAAAAGAGTGGACTGGGCCGACTGGCATTCATTCTGGCATTTGACTCTCGTCTGGTGATTCCAACATGGTCCCAAAGCTCGCCCGCTCTATTTTCGTGCTGGGCCAGTAGTCAATGTCGGAGGGGCCAAGCAAGTCAGTATTAAGTCGTAATCTCGCCCCTTCAATATTTGCACAACTTGAGCTTGCAAGTGCAGCAAGCTTAGGTTCAAGTCAATGTCGGACGTTTCAGAAGTTTTCGGAGACTGCCTGAAGCGAAGGAAGTCAATATGCGGGCAATTATCAGCTTGAATCTTTGTGAAGGAACGTGCTTTTTTCAACTGCAAAATCTCAACGGAGAGCATCTCAACCCTGGCACCCTCGGGTCTTATGAAGTCAATCAATCAGTCCCTCCCTAACTTTGTCAAATGTACTTCATAATAATAATGGAACGTACATGGATTCCTCCTCCCACTCTTCCTCTTCTTCTTCTTTTCTTTACCAAATCTTTCCACCGGAGAATTCAGTTTACATGATTGCCAGGTAAACAGGACGGATTTGTCCCCTTTGACCCCCTGGCCGCTTCAATCGAAGCACTTTATAGCTCTTATCCGCAAGAGTTATCTTTCCCTTCTACCTTCGGAACAAAGTAGGTAATCTGTTCAAGAATGGGCTCCCGGCCTCTCCTACTTTAGCTTGCTGGATTTCTTCCGTCCTTCTTTGTAGATGGGCCTAATTTTAAGCTTTAAATTAACTCAAGACATGTCGTTCGTCCAAGGTCAATTTGGACCGTGTCGATCTTCATCAGTAGCTCTAGCTAACATGAGCGGCTTAATACCTTAAATATAGCTTTCTTCTTAAATTTTCAGGCATGTCGGACTCTAAAGGTCAACGTGGAGTTTGGTCCATAATATTTTAGCCCGCCCAATTAGATGATCGGCCGGCTCATCACCTGTTTATTATTGAGTGACCACTGCTCTTGGAGGAAAGCTGGGTTGAGTCGGTTGCGGTTGAGATAACTCCAAGGCCCCTTATATTCACCGTGTCTCTTAAAAGCAATGCAGTTGGCATTCCGAACCTCCCATTCGTGCTTAATTTTAGCCCATTCAATTTTTGGGGATGGAATAATCCATATCTTAGCCCTTTCAATCTGTCATGGCTTCACGTATATTTAGAATTTTTGCGGTCTTCATGTGCACTGCATCGAGTTATACATCTGCTACGGATGTTTGAATCTTTTTATATTTCGACGTAGACTTTCGCGCCTACTCAGGCATGCCATGAAACCACTTCTATGGTCTGGAATCTATGTCTCTCGTGGTAAAGGTTGCATCTCTAAGAACCTGGACAAATCAGCTCAAGATATTTACCTTCTTCAATTTCATAACAGCAAAATCTAGGAGGAGAGTGGCACATCGCTTGCAAACTTTGTTCATATATGAGATAGAATTAAAAGCAAAGAAAGTGATAAATCGAGCGCGCAAAGTATGGAGTTGAGTTAACTAATCCCAAAAGCTACATTATCCATAACATTCACTCATTGTTCCACTTGTTACATATATTTTCAAGTTCCAAATAATGGATATCCAATTCATATCACAAACATTACTACAAGAGTGGGCTCCACGATAATGTCACGACGCGTTTTGTAACAGTTTACACTTTCCATCCCGACTATTGTCAAACCAAGTGACACGAGTTACTCTTAAAAATCAAAGGTGAGCTTGAACACCAAGAAGTCGTCAAGATCGTCTTGACGTTTTTTTGTAAGTGGGAGTCAGTGCCGGATGTAACTCAGAATCATTGACAAAATGGGAAGTGGACTGAAAATAGTTTCGCTGCTGTCAAATTTCAGTTCTCTCTATATTTGGAGAAACTCCAAGATTTGCATCACATCACTTAAGCTGTACATGTCGTGCAGGATTCATAAGGTAACTGCAATTCATGGCAACTAATGCCTATGGTTACGTTTAACAACTTGCGCAATCCGATCGGCCATCTCTCCACCCACAACGCACAAAACCCTCTTCGAATACAACATAGCAAAGAAATTTCTGACATGTGTCAAAGTCTGCAGTGAAAAGCATAATCTCAAATGTGATTTAACCATTCAGGCATAACTTTCGTCTTGCAACCCCGTTTCTGACTGAAGGAAAGAAGTTGCACAAATTGACACATCATGATGATCACCGCGTAATGTAGATAACAACCCTGTCTCGAAGATACTTGAAGACCGAAAACCTCACTTCAATTATTTTGACACATATCAGAAATTCAGATCTTACAGTTTGAAAAAATTGTGGCCTTTCAGCATATATATATATATATATATATATATATATATATATATATAAGTTACTGAATTATTTAGTTATATTACAATTCAGCAAATCAAATATTTCAACTCTTGTATGGTATTAAATCTAGTTAATTAATTTATTCAATACTGCTAAAGATGCTTATCAGATAAAAATAAATCAAAATGAAAATAGAGATAATGCTGAATTTTCATATAAATTGCTTAAATATATATAAAAATCCTGGAATCTCTTGAACAAAGTTGAAGAAATATTCTTTTATTGTTTTTAAATACATTAGGAGTCTTTATCAACTTTTTGAGAAATTTATTTATTAAATTATGTTGTTAAAAACTCTAATAAAAATTATTTTATGAATAAAATCATATATTCATAATCTATTATTAAATTGATTAAAATTTCCTATTCCCTAAATTTATCATTAAATCAAAATGTTTATTATCACTGTATACTTTGAAATAGGTTAAACTCTATCTTTAAAGAAAAACAATAATTGATTTTATACGTCTTGTTCAACACAGTTCTTATCATCATACAATCAAGCCTAGTACCTCTTTTTTGATCATTTATTGGAAAAACATAATAATTTCAACAGGCAAAATCTACAAAAATCATCATGGTAATCAAATTTCATTTGTATGTACACAAAATTGGTGAATAAGAAAAACTTTCAATGTTATCATGCACAACTCATAAACTCATAGTTTGAATATCCATGTATACAAATAATTGTAAAAATTGAACATGTTTTTTTCCATCAATAATAATTAGCATAAAGAATCCTGGTAATTTGATAAATTTTGATTTACTCCATACTTCAACAATTCATATATCATAATTAAATTTAAAAAATTAACTGCAGCAAAATGATATATTCAAATTACTCAAATTTCAACACTTTTATAAGATGCAGGAGAATTCAGATAAAAAATACATTTTTTTAAATTAACTTCGTGAAACATCAATTTTTATTGATGTAGTGAAAAAAATTTAATCTTAAT